TAGGTTCCATGGGGCTCAAAGCTATTTAGGCAGCTACTGCCATTGAAAGCTGATTAGGCTACATGGCCCAAAGACAAATAGATGGCGACATTATTAAACATAGGTTAATTACACTTCTGCTGCCTGTTTTAATATTGTCCCTTTTTGGTCCCAGCTTTCCTTAGCCAAGTAACAATTTCATCGCACGCTGCCTCACCCTGTTTTGTGTCCTATTTCCTAGTCTATTAGCTTGAGAGTTATTAATTTCAAATTACTTTCTTTCTGCAAGTAATCTGTTCTGAAATCAACAGGCTGCCTTCCTACTGGGCATGTTCCCCTGATAATAGACCATGACATCAATTACGTACAGTTGCCTTTGACTTGCTCCCATGGCGACTAATTAGAGTGCCTAATGGTTGAGTCCACAGTGATGTGGAATAGTGCTTAACAAATGCAGATAAGCATAGTGTTGGGCGACTGGCTCCTTTATCAGTCCTGGTGGGCGCAATGCTCTCAGCTTTCTCCTGCCAAGGGACTGGAAAGGAGCTGCGCTCTCTTTCAGTTTTCTGGGTAAAAACCATGAATCCTCCAGTTAGGCTCATGGTTAAATTAAAAAAAAAATCCCAACTTACTGGCTTTCCAAGACCCTGCACCACATCCCTGCACTCCTAGGTCACGTCTACACTCCGAAGATCAAGCCTCCGGAGGTCAATCTAGCGTTGGATTTAGCACAGTGGTTCCCAACCTTTTCCAGATGGGGACCCATTTTGACAATTCAGGAAGACTTGGTGACCCAGGGCAATTCAAAAACACGTGTGAATGGCTCCTTAAGAGCCACCTGGCGACCCTTTTGAAGTGTAACGGCGACCCATATTTGGGTCCCAACCCATAGGTTGGGAATCTCTTAGTGGGTCCAGTGTAGAATGTTGAGGGCAGTCCCCGCCGGTGTCTGGTACTCCTCATTCTGCAAGGAGCAAGTGAAGCTGACGGGAGCCCGTGTAGACGCTGCTGCGGCTTGGCTCAAGGCAAGCTGAATCCAGCTACGCATTTTCGCATTGTCAGATGGCGTCCTTAAGCCAACTTGCCTGGTCTAGTGCAGACCAAGCCTTCCTGTTACACCTGATAGCCATGTGCCTTCTTGTCCCTTAAAATCAAATGCCTCTTTCCAGGCACATCAATGCTCTGAGTAGCATTTGTGTAAGTGCAAAGCTGAAGAATGCAGACTGATTTTGGAAGACAGCCAGAGCAGCTGGACGTGTTTGAGCCTTAACGGCAAACCACAGAGCACTGACGCGGCAACACCAGAAGGGATGCCTACTGGCGCTGACCCTTTCCCAGCGCGGGAGGCCAAAGGATGAAATCCTGGCTTCTTTGAAGTCAGTGGCAAAAGACCAGTTGATTTCAGCCAGGCAGGGCTTCACCCCAGATCCTCCCAGCACTGATGTATTTTCCCAGCATGGGAAGAGTTCAAAAAACTTCAAGTCTGAACAACAGACAGGGCTTGCATATCAATTGTCCCCTCCCACCCCACAGCACAAATCCCAGATTCAAAGGTATCCCGCCTGGCGTTATTCACAAGCACAACCAACCTACTTTCTCTCTGTGCCGACGCATCTGTCTTTACAGTCTGCCTTGAGCTGGAAAAGAATTGCCCACGTTGGTGTCAGCAACGCCTGTGACCGCCAGGCAGCAAACTGAAGGAGGGGATCAGTATGACTGAGGCGTGACCTCATGTGGGCGACTCATGGTAGCGCTTGGGAGTTGCACTGTCCCCCTGCCAAAATTTCTGTTGATAAATGGGGTGCTCCCTCATGCCTTGTTTCTCTGGGTGGCCCTCCTCCTCACCCCCGCAGGCACCATTTGCCTATGCATCAAGCTTTCCCTTCAGAGGCGACAGCGTTTCCTATCTCCAAAGCGGCACGTTGCCAGGCAGTAAACCTCACCACCACTCGATAACAGCCAGACCCTCTCTCTTGCCATGACCCATCATCATGCAGCTCCCTCATCATGCAGTTGAATAGAAGTGTCATTCTCATACACTGAGATCCCCCAATGAGTATTGTGATGTCACCTGACCACCACCGTCCAGTATTGCAGCATTCATATGAACGTGGGAAGAAAATGGACCATTTTACAATATGGGAATGACTCGGGCCAAATTCTCAGTGTCTGTGATTTTTCTTTTCCTGCTAAACACTTTCCTGACTGATCACCTTGGTAGGGGGAGGCCTATGCCCATCATGCCCATCTTACAAATGAGTGACCTGCAGAACTAGGCTTGTCCATAGGTCACATAGCAAGTCAACAGCAGAGCTAGGAATAGATTCTTGAAGTTCTGACTCCAAGCTCCCTGCTCTAACCATTGCCTATACTGCCATCCTTCCCCTAATGTTAATGACAGCTGCACATGTGCAGCTATAGGAGATTCAGGTCCTGATTCAGGAAATCATCTTTGTCCAGGATGCATTTAAGCATATGCTTAGTTAGAGGCACTTAATCCTTAATTTTGGAATTAGCTAAAGGCCAACTAGCTGTACTGGTGTTGAGAGCAACGGTAGGTTTGGACTGAGGTTCTGAGCTGAGATACAAGCTTGATTCAGCATTACCATTTGGATTGGATAAGGCTAAAACTTCATTCATAGTTTGTTCTGAAATTTCAACAAAAACAAGCACCTTATTGTTTGGATCTGACCCAAATCCAAGGTCATAGAGAAAGATTCAAGCACACAGATTCATTTCCAAACTTTACACCAATGGTCATAGCGGGAGAGTGAGGCGGGTCTAATATGAGACTATATTGACTTGTCACTAATTAACAATTAACAGTACCATTCCTGTGTTTTAGAGCCATTTGTTTTCACCTTTGTTTTAAAGCACTTGGCGAGTGATGCAACATTCTGATGGATCAAACTTTAGTGGACACTTCCATATCTTCATTGTGTAATAAAACAGGTTAGCCCCAAAGAATGTAAAAAAGTCAACTTATTAAATCAGTGGTGGCTTTAGCCTGTGTTTGGAGAAACATCCAGAGTAAGTGGCAAATGATCAAACTGCCAGAAATATGAAAAGAATCTGGATTATATAACCTGTCCAATGGCCAGTGTTTTTAGTACTACATGAAAGCAGTCCCCCTGGAGAAAGCAAAGCTGGTTATTGAGAACAGAGGTGAGGTTTCCTTCACTGACATATAACTTCTGGCATATCACTGCACTCATCTGATGGTTAAGCCTAAAGTCCAAAGCACCTACAGATACAGGTAGGCACCCTGAGGGATTTTCAAAGGCACGGAAATAGATTAGGCTGCTCACATTCATTCACTCAGTCTGCATATTTAGATGCCTCTAATACCTCAGTTAACTCTGGCTCCAGATCCTTAGTTCATATACATCTGTGTGTCTTCAATGAAACCAATGCAGCTATTCAGAGGTACAGCAGACTGGGCTCAAAGCATCAGAACAGCACGCTACTCAAAATTACCTGGAGAGTAAATTACCTGGGAAGGGAGAGTTGATTTGAAGTTAGACCACAGGATTGAGAACAAGGATTCCTGGGGCTACACCCAGTGTTGCCACTGAGTCAATGCATTATGTAGGGCAAAGCACGCAGGCCAACCTTTTCAAAGGCGGGGGACCACTGATTTTGGGTGCCTTTTGAGGGACACTGAGGTGGGTAGTTTCGTCCGCAGTTCCAAGTGTTAAGCAACTCTAGTGCTAGGATAGCAACCATAACCCAGATGAGGGAAGAGTTAAGGGATTGAGAAAAGAACTTACGTATGGGCAAGACAAAGAGGCCAGCTTTCCCATTCATTGGTCTGTCACAGCATAACCTTGGTGCTTGTCCTATTTGCTGGTCCTATTAACTGACTCACTAATGATTTTCCTAACTGAGGGTTTTCCTCACCTCAGCGGCAACTGACATCCCCTCCCCTGCCTGTCGGAAACTGGCTTAATGCAAAATAACAAATTGCTTGTTCGAGTTATAAAACTGCTTGGCATGAGGAGCATTTAATGTTGGGTGAACATGACACAGGGTAGATCGGTGTGAGCTGCTTAGCTTAGCGGAACCAGTCTCTCTTCCCTGGCCTGACACAGTTATCCTTCCCTGGTTAAAGAACAGCCGTTTCCCTCCAGCAAAAGCTCTGAAATAGTAATACAAGAGCTCCAGCAGGCATGGTTACCTAGGAGACAAGGCCCAGACTTGTAGCATAAATGTAGCCAAACAATGCTAAATACTCCCATGAACGAAACACATTCTGAAGAAACCCCGCAAATGTGCAGAAGTGACGACGCCTTGGTTTTTTTCCTTGACGGCGTCTGTAATTATTGAGCATTGATAGCGCCCAGAGGTCCCACCTGCGACTGAGGACCTGCACTGTGCCAGTCACGGTTCAAACACAGAATAAGACACAGGCCTGCCCCCAAAGACCCTACAATTGAAACAGACAAGACAGGCAGAGGGTGGGAGGGGAAACAGAGGTGCAAATCTTCCCTGGTATGTAAGTGCCATTGAAATCAGTGGGAGCTAGGGCCCTAAATATATTTGAAGATCTGAACTGAGGTGATTTTCCCAGGATCATGCAGGTCAGTGGCACTGCTGGAAATAGGACACCTGGGCCACGGCCCCACTAGATTATGCTTCTCCTTGTAAGCAGGTGAATTACAAAAATGAGCTTTATCCTTCAACAGAATCCCAAAGAGTGCCCTCCCTCCCCCCGAAAGAAATCATTGAGCCTCCATAGGGGCCCACTGTATGGAAATCATTGTATGACTGAAAGCCAAGATTTGCTTTTTCAGAAGGCCTCGTTTTTTCTAGATTCCTTCCAAAGGAGCATTTTGTATAACCTTTGTTAAAAGGTTAAAAGAATGGGATAGCCAGGACTGACCCTCTCCCGTTTATACCCTCCTCTAGTCTGAACGAGGATGTCATTCAGCACCATGCTATTGCAGTTCAATACACTGCATAATCTGTCATGGAGAATAGCACAAAGCGATGGGTGTTAATTATAAAAGAGACCCAACTGATTTATATCACTGAGGTCTTTATTGGGAAAGACGCATCAGAGCTCCATAGTGCTAAAAAGGGTAAAGGGGGGAGGGTAGAAACACAACGAAGAGTAGCCATCTGCTCCATTTGTTTACGATAGTACAAAGGGCTTTCTCAAGCCGTCTGTGAGCAGGGACGTCCTTTGAGAACTGCTTTACTTAAGTAAGAAGTTATGGTGAAATTGATCCATGGCAGGGGTGGGCAATAATTTTCGAGGTGACAGGCTGCCCCGGAAGGGGTGGGGCCTCAGACCGAAGGGGCAGGTCTTTAAATAGAAGGAGTTGAAAGGGCTCCCGCCTCCTCTGCAGCTCCCATGCACATTAGCCAGAGACAGGAGCTGCGAGCCCTTTCAATTCCTGCTATTTAAAGGGCTTGCGGCTCCCAGCCTTGCTGCTAGTGTGTTACCTGGGAGCCAGGGACACGCGAGCCCTTTCAACTGTTTCTATTTAAAGGGCTTGCGCCTGCCCTGGGGTTGTGGCCTGCCAGCCACGGGGAAAGTGTGAGCCCTTTAAATAGAAGCAATTGAAAGGGATTGCATGGCTCTGGCTCCCAGGCAACGCGCCAGAGGGTAACTCCTCCCCCCCAAATCTACAGCAAAATTCCCACTGACTTTAGTCCTGCAGGATTGGGCCCTTGTGAGTCTATGTGGTACACAGGCCTTGTGTTGGTGGGTTCACCCTAGGGATGTGACTGTTTAACCAGTTAACCAGTAAGCTTCACCCTTCATAGGTGAGGCTTACCAGTTAAGGTTAACTGATGGGGGGGTGGAGCAGGTTCCTGCCTGTCATGGATAGGGGGCTGCTCCAGCCCCAACGTGGGCCCACTGTGGATGGAGCCACTCCAGCCAGGCCTCACAATATGCTTAACCAGTTAACCAAATAAACGGGATTTTACATCCTAAATAACATTGACCTTCATGTCTAATCTGCCTGTTGGTTCTAGTCACTGGAATTCTTGAGCTGCTAATACTGGTATTTTCAGCATTTCCAATTTGAAGCGTGCGCTGTAATACTGGTACAATTGTAAAGGTAAATACCACTGCTGCTGAAGCCTGTTTATAATGGTGTCAAACTGTACATAGAAAATAAGAGGTATATGAAGCCACTGAAGTGCTCCAATATCTGTTTTCTGGCCAAGCCGTTGTTTCACTCTTTTAACAGATACAAAAAGTTGTATTTCCATGACTCTGCCAGTTGGTACATTTCATTGTGCACTAAAATGTAACACAGCCATTACCGAGTTGTATGTTTTGACAACTGCTCCTTACAAAGTCTCATTACATTATTCCAGAGCCGTTTTCCCACTTTACAGGATTCAGTGTAATCAAAATTGTTTTGCAAACTGCTTCTGAGAGAGAGAGAGAAACCTAGGAAACCAGTATGCCAGTGTACAAAAATAGACGAGAACATTTGGATATCCCAGGTTTCAAAACACAGTCTCGGTGCTGTAGAATGTGAGCTTTGGTAGTTTCTGTGACTGCTGAGACAACACTAGAGTAGAGAAGAAATGCGATAGATGCAATGATCTGCAAAGACTTGTAAACCTAGTGCCCGACCCCACTTGTCAGACATTCCCAAGGGGGAGACAGATGGGGACATGGCTTTGATTTGACCAGTGGCACTCAACTGGGCTGTGGAAGACTGGTTGCGGCACCTATTCAGTATGCCACACTCCTTTGTATGCTCACCAAAAGAGTTCAGGCTGTAGCCTGTGACCTCCTCACCCCTTAAAACAGAGTGTCACTGCTTGGTCTGAACGACTGTATTTCTTTGGTATATTCATCAGTGCTTCTAGTGTTCCTTCTTTCATTTGTTCATCACTCCCTGCCACCGTCACAGGTACAAAAAGAGGAGAGACTTTAGAGTGACCTAGTGTGGAATCAGACACTCAAAGATGATGTCAGCTTTTGTGCTGAGTGTAACATTATCTTAAAATATCTCGTGCTGCTGATGTACAGTGAGCCCCGTTTGCAGGCCCTCAGCAACACCTCTTTTTTTTTTTTTTTTTTAATAATGGAGATTGCCTATCTCCTAGAACTGGAAGGGACCTTGAAAGGTCATCAAGTCCAGTCACCTGCCTTCTCAGCAGGACCAAGTACCTCCCCTTGTGTAAGCCCTTTAAATCAGTCTCAAGCTCTCCAGAAGGATTTTGTTTTGCATGTACTTGAAGACCCACTTTGAGGAGGTGTCTGAATTCTGCTGATCCCAGAGGTGCTTTCGCAGGTCTCACTGTACTTGAAACTTCACAGCTCCTACCGAAATATTTGCATGTGTCTATAGGTGTAGCAGAATACAAAAGTGAAATAATTTCATTGCATGATTATGGCGTATGGCGCTCTTAACCACAACTGTCTTCAGCCTCGACAATTTATCAAGGTCTTGTCTTCCTAAACCCTACTATTAATCCTACAATTAGTTATAATAAAGTAATCTGGGCAGCAACACTTTTAACAAGCTGTCAAACTTTTGCTAGAAAAATACATGGAAAGTTTCTTTTTGTAATAAAATTCAGGCTAACTCAGTAATGACAGCAAAGGCATTTCTGTTACAACTGCTAGCACTGGTAAGAAAGCTCTACAAGCAGCCTGAAGTCACTGAGAATGACACTCACCGCACCCATACTCATGGCAGGCAAACTTCATTCTGGCCGGTGAATTTATACTAGTGTGTCAGTGGTGAAAGGTCAGGATCAAATCCTATGGGCCTAGGGTGAGAGGGATCCCTGTGCACAGAACTTGTCCAGGTCCTGTGAACCACATACGTCTTTAAGTGGAAATTCTGCAAGGGTGAATGTCAGCCTTGAAAATGATCCTGCCTAAATCAGTGGTAAAGCTTCTATTGACTTCAATGGGAGTAAGATCAGGTGCTATTACATCAGCCAATTGGCAGATGTACATCTTCTTATTCAGGTACTAATATGAGACTAAAACTGCTCTCCACCACCGGCCAGACTCAGCTCTTGGGGTCTGGAAGCTCTCTGGTGTGGTCTTCCTCATTCTCCTCGGAGCAGGACAAGCTCAGTGCACTGGTCACAGGATGGATCCATGATGTAGTCTGTGTTACATGGCTAAGAGGAAACAAGAAACGTTGTTACCATCCTCAAAGGGTTTATTTCAGATCAGAAAAACAGAAGTCCTAAGAATGCTTCACCCCTCTGTGGATGTCTCCAGTGTCTCGCCAGGCATCAAGAACTGTTCACTAAAACATTTCTCTTGTAGGATTTTATCTTTCATTAAACATGAAACCTCTCATACATACATTTCCCATTCTCTACACCGGGGTGGGCAAAAGGGCCTCCATGGGCCAGATCTGGCCCGCCAAGTAGATGGATATGGCCCGTGGAGGCCCTGCCACTCCCTCACCCCTAGGCCAATCAGGTTGACTCTAAGCACCACACGCCCAAGGTTAGGGAGCGAGAGACTTTACGCACTCCCGCACCCCCAGACCAATCAGGGTTTGTGGGTGGGGAAGCCCCACCCCTTCTTTCTGAGGCTCCACCCTTTCCAGGGCAGACCGGGGCCACTTCAAAAATTTCTGAAGTGGCCTCCAATGAAAAATGATTGCCCACCCTTGCTCTAGGCAAATGGTGGTACCTTTAGGAGAGAGCACCCCAAATGAGAATCCCTTCCTTCAAATAATCCACCTTGATTTAATCGAAAGCTAAGGAGAAAAGAGCTTTTGCAGCAAAGAAATCCTGGTATATTGAAAATACCACGGATGTGGTGTCCCATGAAAGGCAGCTGCTACTGACCAATAGAGAAGCACGGTAACTAAACCTGACAACATTTCAGCAAGATGAGGGCAGAGTGTCTAAGTGACTTGATGAGATCACAGAAGGAATTAGCCAGAGCTGGATCCACAAGATCCTGGTACAGTCCCATGATCAGATCACTAGATGATGGACTAGAGGTCTAGAATACTTGAGAGTTCTCTTGAAGGCGGGGGAGGTACATTAAACCCAAATGGGAGTAGTCTTAGTCCTCCTTTGGGACAAATTCTGGGTATGCTCAGGAGCCTCAACTCATGCAAGTAATCTGACCCACAGAGTCAGTCCTACTTGTGCAAGGATTACAGGACCAAGCCTTGTGTTTTAAATACAGCCTCAAGCTGCTTGCATCGTCTTGGCCTGATATTGCTAGTTACCTTCCCCGTCATCGGAATGGACAAAAAGCTGAAAGCGTCTCAACTTTAGTAAGTGGAGACAAATGGGTCAGGCTGAGAATACTGTAAACTTGTGTACATAATGAGCGCAACCTCAGAGTGCGGCCAGCTTTTGTGGGTGGAGGAGCTCTTCCTCAGGTCTGGAGGAGGTAACTAGCATGTTCAAAACAAAGGCAAGATGGAAGAGACTGCTCAGCATAACTTGTTCAAACATGCTGCACTGAAATGGGCACCGAAGAATTAGCAGGCAGCAGCATTATGCGTTGTCGTAGTGAGCCATAAAACCAGTGTCTCTGTGAAGTCAAGGGTTTTCAGTGTCTAGCAGTTATGAATTTACATTCGCTGGGTTGCGTACTGAATGAGTTGTGCAGGTTTCCTTAGAAGAGAGGAACAGAGATCAGACGTGCAGGAATCAGTTCATGAAAGGCGTTCTCCCAAAGGCGAGAGCGTATTTTTGTCTTTTTATCATTTTTATGTGTGAGTACATTTGAGACCAGTTCATTTACAGGGGTCTCCCACAGTAGAAGAAGAACCCCTTATTCTTAACAATCTAGTTCAGCTTGTATTTAGCTCGTACACTTTGATTACCACCTCCAGATCTGAGGAAGAGCTCTGTGAAGCTTGGAAGCTTGTCCCTTCCACCAGCAAAAGGTGGTCCAATCAAAAAATATTTCCTCACCTCCTTGTCTCTCATATTCTAAGGCCAGCATGGTGACAACACTGCAAATAGCATGCATAGTTCCAGATCAACCTCCCTTTTTCCCCAGTCTCCTGGCACAACCTCCCCCAGATAAAATAATCAGTTGTATGGATGCCATCCTTGCCGTATGTAGACAAGTCATAGCCTTGTGTCCTTACTGCAAAAGATGCATTACTGGGAGGGAAAATAAGTTATTTTCACTGTTTAGTCCTGCTAACAGATTCAGTGGTTACTATAGGCAAATGGGTGCAAAGAGGCAGCTTATAACATAAGATGATCATTTAGGGGGAAAAAAAAGATAAATTGGATGAATCTATTGTCTGCATATGCAATAGTGAGGAAAATAAAGACGACCAGAGGAGGAACAGAAATGCTATGGAAACCCACAAATTTCCCATTAAGTACCCTGAAACCCTGTTAAACAAATACCTTGGCTATTACACCCTACCAACATGTAAAGAAAAATTATGGTCTCGAGCAAATTCTTTCCTGATAGATGCACTTTGCAAATCTTCACTGCTGTTCCATTGTAATCTGCCCACAGTATGGACATCCATACTGCCCTCTCAGGTTAATGAGCCACGTTCCTCATGCCACAGCTGAACCATTTCCCAGGGCGGAACATGTAATATGTTGTTTTGGCAGAATTTTTCATTTTTTGCTGTTTCCTTCTGCCACCAATTTGTAGCTATTTGAGTGGGAGAATAGGTTTTAAAGCATTTGTAACGCTGATATCTCTCTGAATTTTTAGAATTGTGAAAAATTAAGGGGGAGGGGCGGGGTGTCAGACCACAATAATTTAGTCTCACTCTGTGATGAAGTGGGGACTGTATTTGCTCTGTTCGCTTTATGTTGCATGGGATTCTACTATCCTGTAGTAACTCTGTGTGGGTTTCCCTGGGCACTGCACCAATACCTAGATGGTGGTGGGATTTTGGTGTGATAGTCTCCCTCACATACACAATGGCTGATGCTTTTTGTAACCTGAGCCTCAGAGGGGTGTGGACCGGGTAACACTTTTTGCCTGGGAAGCTGGACAAAGGCTGGGGATGGGGCTGGTTGCAGGGGGAGATGGGCTGCTGAGTATGTGAATGAGCCTCGCAGGCTTGGGGTGCAGGGAGGGGGATCGGGGGCCTTGGCTCTGAGCTCCCTCTCCCAAGATGGATTGTACTGACTGCTCCTGATTTCTGTGACAAGCCTGTTCTACACTGTATCCCTGTCGACTCATAAACCTTCTATTCTACCTGCTCACTGAGAATCGCATCCAACTGCAGACCGGGAATCAGGCCCCAGTGACTCCCTATCCCTCGGTGACACACCCAAATGCTGCAGGTGTAAGGAGGTTGCAGTTCTGGCAGGATGGAGCAGGGATCCCTGGCCCAGAATGCAAGGAGGAGAATGAGCCCCTGGCTGTATGGAAAGCCACCTCACTGTCACTAAACACCTGCTCACTGAGAATCGCATCCAACTGCAGACCGGGAATCAGGCCCCAGTGACTCCCTATCCCTCGGTGACACACCCAAATGCTGCAGGTGTAAGGAGGTTGCAGTTCTGGCAGGATGGAGCAGGGATCCCTGGCCCAGAATGCAAGGAGGAGAATGAGCCCCTGGCTGTATGGAAAGCCACCTCACTGTCACTAAACCCAGA